TTGGCCAAACATTCTTCTAGGTGTGTCTGTGAGGGAGCTAATATGAGAGAGATATTCAACCATCTGATGATCTTTCATTGGTAGTTGGTAAAACAGATATTTTGTGGTATTCTAAAAGTCAGAACAGAAAATGAACTTTACAAGGATGTGAATTTCTAGTTCATATGTAGGAGAATTTACTGGCAAAACAGAAAATGAGCCATCTCCTAAATTAGATTCTTGAACTACTGTCAGAGTGGAATTCAAGGAAAATATTCAGCATCACTATAGAAATAGATTGTCAAGCTGGACGAAAGCTAGACAAGATGACTGAAGATCCTTCTACTTACCAGGTTTTGCCATTCTATGCAAACTAAAGCTATATTAATAGAAGTATTAGATCAAAAGCAGCAGCAGGTAGAAATAAGGTGCAACATTTACACCTTAGACAATGGACACCTTAAAACTGATTGCCACATGTGCAAAGATGCGCAGAAGCCAACACGGAAGAGGAGAATACTCTGAGGAACAAATTAGAGAGAGAGGGAAATGCACAAGACTGAACCAGGGGAAGATCCACCATTGGGATCCGGTGAAGGAGACAGGGTCACATTAGTCTGAGAAGGAGACTTTCCATGAGGGTCATGCAGGCCAAGAAAGAAGAGCATTCAAGGAAAGAGCAGCCACCACCCCACAAATCCACAGAGAAGTGAGAAAGAATGATGCTGACCCCCTTCAGGAAGTCGCCAGTGACTGGTGGTTCTGTTTCTGTTTGGTTTGATTTTGTTTTTCATATTAGCCTAACTTAGCTCATATCCTAATAAAACATCATATTGCTCAAGACCTACATAAAATCTCATTTGAATAAACTTAGAGCAGCACACAAACTTGGGAAATGCTTGTGAGCCAGAAGACATGTTTTCTACACTCCTATTTGCAACTCTGCACAGTAACTATGATAGAAAACTTTTAAGTATACAGCATACCCTCTGTGGGAAAAAAAGGACTCGTATTTCAAAGAGATTTAAACAAAAGATAAAAGTCTAGCACATACCTAGGACCAGTAACACCAATGCTGCTTCCCCCTTTAATCCAGTTATAAAAGCTAATAACCTATTAATGGGAGGCTTTTGCCCTGCAAAACTTGTGGTGAGCAGCAAGGGTTCAGAATCCCTGGAATAATTTCCATCATCTCCTTGCACAGAATTTTAGTATGGTAAAATGGAAGGGTGTGAGCATTTCTCCCTCATCCCTAGTGGTATCAAAGAAAATTTCCCCTGCCCTTTTTCCCTCTGAACACCAAAAAGTTATTAAAATGTAGAAGAGAATTTCTTAGCAAATACTAACCCCAAAGCCACAAAAGAGCTTTAGTGAAGCCAGCACTGTCTTAGGTATGTCACTGCCTGGCCAGTACTGATCAGTACTTCATTCCAATGACCTCATTTTCAGTTCAACTAAGAAAATAGATGATTTTGACAAAACTAGATCCAATTTTACAAATTACTATAGTAGACAAAAAGCAAGTTCGAGTAAAAACTAATTCCTTCGTAAGTGTAACTGCAAAAATACTTGAGAAACAATATTGGGATTTGTTACTGTTGCTCAAAAAGGGATAGACCCAAGGAGAAATAACACTCCTTAAATGCATATTTTAATATGCACATATGTACTTTTATGTGCATTGACACAATGCCAATAATGGGTAGATTCTGTGTCTCATTCATCTTTTTTTTTACTAACCCTCTACCACAGGCCCAACCCAGGATATATACATGCTAATTGGTATGTACTCAGAAACAGTGACCGAGAAGCAGGTACGTAAACCTCAACCGAAACATTACCTCATTTATAGTCACAGTAGATCAGTGGCTAGGGCTCACCTTACAGAGACACACAAAAACATTTAAATTTTCATTTAGTTTAAAATCATAAATAAAAAATGAATATAATAAGAATGGGTACATAAGAATGAATCCAACCTGGTTCATATTTGTCTTTGTACACACACAATTATAAAACTGATTTTTAATATTTTTTGGAGGAAGGGGCCCACAAAGGGCTCAAGAAAGACACAGTATAACCTTGGTCTGATTCCACCCCACACCTCATAAACATACTTTCCTGGGTTTCCCTGTGGAGTAATGCATGCTGGCTCCACAATCCCCATATTTTGGAATCAAGAGCAGCTTTAGTTAGTTTAAACAAAGTCTCTAATTTTCTACTATTTTGCTTCCCATATTACTAAATTACAAGAAATCTGAATTAGGTACTTTATACATAAACAGTGCTTTTCCTGATTGCTTTGTAGAAAAACACATACATGCTTTAAAATGACTTATCTTTGGGCCTCCTACACAAGCTATACAGAAAGGGTAAGTAACAAAGAACAAGCAGAAAATAGGCTGTAATCACAATGTTTTAAATATTTGAGTCAATTAGCTGAAATTTTCATATCTCACTGCAGTAAAATATCATTTCTGCAAGATTTTTCTCCCTTACAACCTCAGCTAATTGGAAGGTCTATAGTCTGTGCTCTTCTGACAAATATACCACTGTAGGAATGTTTAGTAAAATATATTTTAAGTTATTGTCACCACTGTAAATCATGTGAGAATACACATATTTTACTGAATCGTAAAAAGCTACTTGAAGTCCAAAAAGATCAACACTACTTAGCATATCACAGGGGCTCAAAAAAGTTTGTTGACTGACTGCATAAACAAATGAATATTTTAGGTTATAAAAGCTCTCTAGTCTATGGCCAGATCAACAGGAACTAAAATGACCTAAAGAAACATCATTCCTAGTCATGATGGTATGATGGATGTCAGTCCCTCAAGTCATGTGGCCATTGTAACAAGTTCAAGGGAAAAAGACTGGCCTCAACTTTCTCTGTAAATCAGTACCAGAGCAGATACAGACCCAGCTATGTGGCCAAAACATTTAACCTCATGACACAGCAAAAACTATTTGTCTGTAAAATAAAATTCTGTGTGAGGAAGATCAGAAAGTTGTATTCCTCATCAAAACACTGTCAATTAACTAATTAATTAATTGGCCATTAAAAAACAAATTTATCTTTTTAGTATTTGTGCCAAAAATATTGAAAGCAAATCAATTTAGGAGTTGGACTAGACTTTTCCAAAATTCAGTGTAACAAAAAACAGTTCTAAACTTATAGGAAAATCAAGGGATTAAAAGTCAATACGATGCGTGAACATTTATTAGATACTATACCAAAAATAAAAACCACCTCTGAGAGATGCGATACTTTAGGGACAATTGGGGAAATTGAAAAGTGGAATGTATTTATCAATCAATGTAACATTTTTTGGGTGTGGTAACAATATTGTGGTTACATAGGAGAAAGTCCTTATTCTAAGGAGGTTCTTGCTAAAGTCTCTGGAGGTACATGATGTCTACATTTTGCTTTCAGATGATTCAACAAATTCAACAACAACAAAAAAGTGTGTGTTGTGTGTGTGTGTATGTGTGTGTGTGTGTGTGTTTGTATGTGAGAGTGAGAGAGAAGAAGCAAATGTAACAAAATGGTAATTTGAGAAAGCTTTTTGGATGATCATTTAATCATTTAATTTTTTTATAAAATTCAACATTTTCAAAATAAATGTAAAAATGACTAGTGTCATAGAGAAATGTTTAAATATATGAAAGGTATCTGTGACTACAGTATTATGTCTACAAAGCAGGTTTCAAAATACTGTACAACATAATACTAGTTAGGGATATATATTTGGATGAAAATACATGAACACATCAGGAGAGGCCACTATGACTGGAACCCTCTAAAGGTGTACAGCATGGCAGCCTCAAGTGGTTACGTCTGGATTGTACAATTACACAACTTCCATTTTCTTAATTTTATTTATAAAAACTGCTTATTTTTATATATATTAATACATTCATATATACATAAAAATTACTTTTAAAAGAGTGACTGAACATAAAACTGTCACAATAGATCCTCTTGGAAACTTGTCCTTGTTAAAGATGGTTAACTCTTATGTTAAGATTATACTAGTGATTCAATATAAATAAATCACTTCATTTGAAAAAGGAGAAATGATGACAATAATTCTAGCCTCTTGGATGGCACCAGAGGGTATAACTAATGACCTCAGGGTGGGAACTACACTGAGACAGATTTCAGCTCATTATGAGACTGAATGTTGCAATGGGTAAGCGTCCAACAAGGGAAGGGACTCACTATGAAATAATTGCCTATCGAGGTAGATTACTATACCTGTCAGAGATCTTATTAGGAAGAGGGACAGCGCATCAGATAAACTCTAACCTAGCATTTAGTATCTAAAAGATCTGGTCAAAAATAAAGAAAAAAGCCATCATAAATTGAATAGATGCACCTTGAAGGAAAAATTACGTAATAGCCTGCCATCAACAAACTAGAGACAAGAGAGAACATTGATACTCTGGTCAGGATGCTATATTTTTAAAACTAGATTATGATTAACAATGTTCAGCTAGACCAATGACCCAGCCAAAAACATGTGTCTCCTAACATCATAAACCAAAATTATTTCTAACTATGCGTTTCATTTTAAATATTTGCATGTTCATACCAGGTACTATTGACTTGAAAGAAAAAAATGAAGAACAGATTGTGGATACATATAGCCATACGGATGTATATCAAAAAACCTTATGCTGAGAAAAGAAGCAGACGCAGAATACATGCTGTATGATTTCATGTATATTGGTTTCAAAAATAGGCAAAACGAATCTAGCAGAAGTCAGAGGATGGTTGTGTGGAGTGCAGGGAGAATGAATGAAAAAGGGCACAGGGGAACCTCCTGGCATGATAGAAACATTCCATATCTTGTTTTGGGTGGAAGTTACACAGATGTTACACAGCTGTCAAAGCTCATCAAACTGAACACTTAAGCTCTGTGTGGTTTTTTTTATATAAATTATACCCTCAAAAGAAAATAAATTAAAAATTAAAAATCATTCACTTTGGGTCAGCTGAAGAACTCAGTACTTACCAAGCGATTTCTTTTTACTGCAAAACATGATTGCATTTGATTATTTTTCATTAGGCCTCAACATCTGACCTGCATAAGAAAACAAGAAAAAGACACATCATTAGTATTTGAAAAATGCTTATTAACCATCAATTTCCCTTCTTTAGCTTTCCTTCTAGTCAAATCTAGATGACGAGCAAGTACAATAAGGAATATGAGATTCCATTTATCAGGCTTTAATCTAACTAGATAAGAATAATTCTATACAAAAATAATCTACTGTATTATGATACTATGTGGAACTACTTAAGGTAAGCACAGGGTGCCATTCAACTTGGCATTAAAATTGAGTCACATTTTCTAATATATCCCAATTTTGATTATGAATCAAAATACCTCATAGGTGAAGCTCTAGCATCTGCCCTTTACTCAATGCTATGGGTGATTCCTTCCCACAGCCAGAGCTGGGAACCACTGCTAAATTGCAGGAGTTGCATGTGAGAGGAAATTATCAGACAGGCTCTAGAGAAACAAAATGCCACTCAAAAGTTTTCCTCAATTTATTCTCATCTGTATAGTTTTCTCCAGGTCATTACAGAAAGCCAGAATAATGTCATTATTACCTTTCTTTTTTCCCTCCATATGGTCTAATTTCCTTCATATGGTAGATTCTATTACAGATTTAGAAGGAATAAATAAAAGAGCAAATGAATGATCTCCAATATCTCTAACCCAAAAGATCATGGAAATGAACTCAGGCACCTTTGCAAACACAAGACAGAGTTGGCAGAGGTACTGAATGCACGCTCTTTCAGTTAGAAAGAGAAATGGCTTGTTTGCTTCCTGCTCAAAGAAACGAAGTGGCGTGGCAGGATGCAGTAACTATACATAAAGAAGAAGTTGGTCAGCAATAGGAAGAGGGTTGCAGGCACCCTGAAGAGCACCAGAAAGAAGGGGGAAATTTGCAAAGCTTCGGGGAAGACAAAAGGAGGTACTCTGGCTAAAAAAAAAATATTCACAAAAAGCATTTTTTGAGGTAAGGCCTTTCTGTGAGAAATAATACAGATAAAATGGGTTTTCAACCATGAAACAACATCTTTGTTCCCAAAAAAGCTTTCACAATAACAGATACAAAATGACAGCAGGGAAAAACATGGATGGATTCTGGGACAGTGATACCTGGATTTGGTGGCCCCATCTGGCCAGAGGGTTATGGCTCATCAGCGAGTTCAAGCCAACCTGTTAGGGCTTGAAAACTCTCTGGGGACTAGTGAACACATTGTATTTTCACGGGCTCAGTCCCTGGAGCAGGTGAAAGGAAGAACACTTCTTTAAGCAAGATGACGAGAGGAACTCTGCACCCTGACAGGTGGCAATAAGAATGCAGGCAGGCAGAAGAAAGAAATCCAGTCTCCCAGGAAGTTAGTAAGAGTACTGGCCACTGGCCAACTTTCTTTCTCTCTCCTGATTGGTTCATTACATTGCTTGGAGAGATTACTACTGACAGATAACAAGTACAAAGATCAACTGAAATATATCTGTATAATATAAAGGTACCTAAAGAGAAAATATCCATGGAACACCTTCCCTCTGCTATTTTAGATCTTCCTGAAAGCACTTCTCTTTTTAAAAGCCCCTAAACAAACATAAAGCAATGTTTCCTAAATTTACCTTTAAGCCATACAGCTATTTCATTGCTTTTAACTTCTCTTATTCCACTTTCTACCATGCCTTTGAAAACTTTTATTGTAAAGATGTTGATAAACCCATTTTTAAATTTTAGCCATTTTTGCTTTTGTAGAAAATATTCTCTACTTCATAGAGTGGTAATTGTTGTGTGAATTAAACAATATTTTCATAAGAACTCTAAAAGTTATATCTTGATAATGATCTTATTCAAATTTTTTTACTCTCTGAGACATAAAATTACAATGAAAAATTAAGAGTTGATATTCAGGTCCATGTTTCCTCCAATCCAATCCTTCTATTATAACAGTGGCAGTTCCAGGCATATTTAACAGAGGATTCATCTTAATCTAGCAGATTCTAATTTAACTTGGAGGAAGTGAAATTTAGACCTTTCATTCTTGCACATTTATCAACTCACCAACATACCCCAGCTGACACTTACCCACTTTAAAGCATGTTGGAGTAAAGAAAAAAAATTATCTTTTTTGAACTTTTGGATCAGTGAAGGTCCAAGGAAATAAGAGTAAAAGGTGAGAGAAAAAGGTTTTACTATAATGAAAGCTAACTGTAGAGTAGGAATTTAAGATTTTGAAATTCAACCATTCACAAGTGCTGAAGCAAACAATATTTGCATGAATACAGTCCTCCTTTTTTTGATATCACCCCAAAGTGGAGGAAATGGAGAAAGGAAAGCTGCCAGGTAGGTTTTATCTTACCCTTGGTTTCATCTTATATAAGAGATTAAAATGGTGGTTTCCTTGTGTAAAAGTCCTAGGAGATTTTTATAAGAAAGAGGTAAAGGGAAAATAGGAAGAGAGAGAAGGGAATAGCTAAGAAGTAATAGCTAAGGGCTTTACATACATTATTTAATTTACAATGCAATGAGTTTTTTTACCAAAAAAAACTTGAAAGTGATGCTTGCATGAAGAATTATTTGGTTTACATTCCAAGTTCAGGTTTGGAACCTTGATTACAGAAAATAATTCTGCTAACAGGAAAAGTGGCAAAGCCAAAGTTCAGGAAAAATGTGTTGGTTTCAGACCTCTTGAGATTGAGGGCGGTAACAAGACATCCAAGTTGGAGACGGTAATTGAGCAGCTGTGTGCGGAAGAAGACATCATGTCCATGTTATGGATCCACATGGTCTCTATTCTAGTGAAAACGGGTACCCCTGGGTGCAGGTGACTCAATGCTTTAAGCAAAGGATTAAAATGGAGATTCCCTTTAATGATCTCAGACCATTGAACAATCAACTTATTATAGTTAATTCCCCCTGCTCCAATTACATGATTGCCAAGCAACCTGCTGATAATGACTTACTTGCTTTCCCACAAAAGTCTGCCTGCAGGGAAAGATTGCACTAGTCATACATGCTGAAGTGAACATTCTAGTTCTCCTGACAGTTATATCACACATCTTATATTAATAGCCTGTCATTCTTATTTTATATCATCAGTCTCCTGAGTTAATACTAGTCTAACCCAGAAAGATAGATCTGTTTGGTGTGCTTTTGAATTATGGTTCAAAATCTACAGGACAAACAGCCCAGTCCAGCCATGGTAAACTCACCAAGAAGCCTCCACAGAGCAGCCCGCTGATCCGCTCAAGGAGCAGCCGGCTGTGGTGGCTGGAAGCTTGTCCTTTGGAGTCAAACAGCCTGACCTTGGGTGGATTCCACTAACTCATTACAGAGTCCGGGGTGAATAAGCTCTGGAGCATCAGAACCTACCCTGAAGGGCTGCTGTGTGGGGAGGGGACACACAATGAAAGCGCTCATCCAATATCAGTTATCTGGAAGGCAGCTCTCTGGATTTCCTTTGTCAAAGCATTTACGTAAATAGTAGGATGAAATGAGGACAGGGCGTCTGACTCCTTCAAGACATTCTGCAGTAAAGTAAAGGAGGTGCATGTGAAGGGGTAATAGGACTTTAAAGAGAAGAGGGGTTTATTGTGGGAAGACAGGGCCATGCAGAGGAACTAAGGGGGCAAAACGAGTGGAAAGAGAAATACTGAAAATATGACACAGATTGACGGAAAGGTAAAGGAATTGGAGGAGGTTGGAAAAGAAGGGGAAACAGAAGGGGCCGAGGCAGGTGGAGAGGAGCTAGGAGCAATCGGAACCAGGAGAGCCCAGGCGGCCCCTCCCTGCCTGTCTCCCCTTCGGGGGCTAGGAGGAACTGGAGGGCCCCACTGGGGGGACCCTCTGCTTCCCCTGAGCAGCGGGCTCTCTCCAGTGCTTAGGACTCAGGGACAAGATGGGCTAAGCGGGAAAGGACCCATACGGCTTCCAGCCCAAGTCCAGGCCTCACCCCCTGCCCTCCTCTCCTTCTGTTTTCCATGCTCTGTTCTGTTCTGCTTGCCTCCCTCATTCCCACACCTGCTTTCTCTTCCTCTTTGGAGACATCATACTATGCAGGAGAGGCTTTTAGGATTAAAGGACTCCAATCCCAGCTTGTCACTTTCTGTCTGTGTTACTCTGGCCAAGTCGCTCACCCTTCCTAAGACTCCACCTCAACCTGCAGTAGAGGTAACAACACCCTCCTCCCAGAGCCGCTGTGAGGCTCAGCATGCGTGCACACACGGTTCACTCCACAAAAACGTGTCCCTGTCCTTTCTTCCTTCCTCCCCACTCTGCCTTTTCTTTTTCTACTCCCTCCCTTTTCTCGTCTTCCTATCTCCCAGTTTCCTTTCTCTGTTTCCCTAATTTTCTTTCATATTTCTCACTAAGGCACTTGCTTTCCAACCCAAATCACCTTCTGTCTGAGGACTGACCCAGCCAAGAGGGGATGATGGGAGGGGGCTGCCTGCGAGGCCAGCACCAGGGTGGGCTTGGGTGAACCTCAGTGAAAAGCCCACCTGCTGAGCAATAGAAGGATCTGAGGATTGGAAGCTGGCAGGGCAGGAATAGGAAACCAGCCCTTTCTCTCTTCGTCTCACCCTCCATCTTCTCTGGCCTTACCAGTGCCCCTTTCTTCCCTCTGGCCCTAAATTCCCAGAGGCTGGAAAGAAAGTCCTCATTGAGTCCTCCCACCCTGGACACAGCAACCTCACAGTCATTTCTGCTGGTGACCCTGCCTGCCAGCCCAGGAATAGTCCCCAGGGACCCTGAAGGCAGACCCCGGAAGGATGGGGGGCTGAAACTCAGCTCTACAACCCGAGGAAGGGAGACACCGGCGCAGGGAAATCTCAGCCTGGGGAGGTGAACCTGGAGAGGGATAAGGAATAACCTGGGCCTCTGTCCTGCGTGTGTGCAGCTTGGAGTGTGATGTGAGGGCGGGAGGAGTAGATAATGTTTTAACCATATGTGCTGTCAGTGACAGCTGCAGCTGCCACCAGCCACAGTGCTTGCAGATTGTAGATATCGGACAAAAGCACAAGTAAAAAAGCTTCAGCCAGTCTGTGTGTGTAAATGTGTAAAAGTGACGGTTCGCACAGCCAAACGTATAAATTACTTAGCAATCATATCCAATTACCCTGCCTTAACAATAAATTATTCTATTTCCTATATGGTGTAGATCAGATTGTGTTTTGCAGTGAGTTGTCATGTCGACACTGAATTCTGTTTATATTCTGTTAGGCATGCAGCTGTTACCCAGCCACAGAATTCTAAAGCAGTGGGAACCCTGCTTGCTTCCTCCTCTTGTTTATGCCCTGCAGGGGTCTCTGAGTTCCCTTTCCTCTGACCTTTCTCTCCTGTTCCCAGCTTGGTCCTGCTGCCCCTCTTGTGCATATTCACCCTCTTCTGCCTCAACCAGCCTTTCTCTCCCAGACACGCGTCCCCTGGCTGCGTGGTCTTCCTTCCCCTCTCACTTCCCCATTCTTCCACTGCTGGAGTCAGACCGCTGGGTTTGATCCTGCTAGTTCTATAACCTCCAGCAAATTCCCCTCACTTCTAAGCCCTGCTTTTCTCATGTCCAAAAAGGGGCAATCAGAGTAACTCACGGGCTCACTAAGCAAACTAAATCAAGTCATCCCTATGAAGAAATTAACCACAAAGTTACTACTCAAGAAAAGAAAGCTATTACTATTTTTTTCTCTTAAATGTATTTTTAGCTCTCCAGAAGTAGATAACCTATCAAATTTGAGAGCCATCCCTACTAATAAGTGTCCAATCATTAAATGCTTCTCAGGTGCCTATTCTAGGTCAAGCCTGGAATGGGTGGAGGGAGGCAAGGACCATTAGGCCCTCTCTCTCTGTCCTTTAATAGCACATAGTCAGGGGAAGATGAGGACAGACAGACCCATAGAAAGGTCGCCAGAATGGCAAGGTGGGGGCTATGAGAGGGGTGGAGGACTACGGAGGGAGGGGGAGAGGAGTTGCCAGGACCTCAGAGGTGGTGATTTCATGTTGAGCACCTTTGAAAGGAAATGAAGAGTTTGCTCAATGTAAGGAGGTGAAGACAGGCAAAAGGAACAGCATGTGGAAAGACCCAGTGTTGTGAAAGAGAAGGGAAGGTCTGGGGAGCAGTGACAGTCATGAAAAGTAGGTTCCAAGGGGGTGAATGGGCGTGGTGTGATACGGGGTTGGTAAGGTAGGTAACAATGGACTCTGAAGCAGTCATCACCTTTATCATTACTGCCATTCACTGGGTACTTGGCCTTGTGATAAATCCTTGACGTGTATCATTTCATTTAATCTTCACCAAAACTGTATGGGCAGGGATTATGAGTATTCCCATATGATAGGTGAGGTCACACAGAGCACCACTACAGTCAAAATCCTGTGGTTGATGCTGCAGGTAATGGGGAAGTAAAAAGGTTCTCTCGGTAGAGTGGTAAGATTAGAACCCAGCCCCCCTTCTCCATTGTCACCGGTCCCTTGTGTTTCCCTATGCAACTGCACACTAACAGTTTTTAGGAAGGCTACTCTCATGACACAGACTGGCATCAAAAGAAATGGGAAAGCAAAAAAAACAGCAAATGAAGCTGGATTCTAGAAATGTTTCCGCAGTTGAATTGACAGAGTATGTAAATGGTCCATAAGTTGGGCCATTTACCAGGCGCCATAAGTTGGGCCATAGGACCAGGAGGAATCTGGGGTGACTTCTAGGTATTTGGCTCAGGACAATAAAGGGATAGAGGTGCTGTTAACAAAAGTGACAAATACAGCTGTGCAGGGAGGAGGAGAAGGCGGAGGAATGGGAGCAGGAATTGGAGTGGGAGGGAAATCATTCCATTTGAACATATTAGGCTTGAAGTGCCTCTTCATCTCTGAAAATATCCTCAGCACTAAAGAGAAAAGACAGATTTGTAAACTTGGATTCATCAACATATAAGGAAGCATTGAAGTCATGGGAAATGAATGATCTCACTCTTGTTCAAGAAGAACAAGAATAAAGAGAAGTGTGGAGAGGACAGAGGTTGAGGATGAGTCAATAGAAGAATGAGGACAGAGTCCCAGGGAACACTCAACCTCAAAAGAAGGGTCAGAGAAGTGCCATGGCTTTCTTCCTGCGCCCTTCTCCTCTGCACTAGCACAGAGCCTGGCACAGGGTAGGGTAGGTGCTCAGCAAACTGGAGTTGAGGAAAGAAAGGCAACCTCAAAGGGAGGAAGGAACATGTTTCCAAAAACACAATGACCAATAATATTTAATGTTTATAGCTAATATTCAATCTGAGATGTATTTATTAATATTTGAAAAATATTTGATATTGCGAAGAAGTCAGGTAAGACTTTAGGCATGTGGAACATCATGAGGTTACCGTTTTCTCTGACATCTTTTCAAGAGAAATCCTGAAAACAAATACTAGCACCTAATCTTTGTACATACCATGCTAGCATCTAAAATACATACTTTAAGAAGTTTTATTTTAAAGAAAGCTATGATTTCCAATTTAGAAATTGGAATCATTTCCAGATTTGAAATAATAGGTTAAGTCTTTCCCTACTAAATGAAAATTTCCAATTTACCACATAAGAATAAAATAAAATCCTCCTATACACAAAAATTCTCCAGGGGCACAAAAAAAATCCCTTGGTTCCTCATTTTGGAATGCACATTTCATGCATGATGAAACAATACAAAAGCACAAGATAGAAAAATGTAGTTTTAAAAATCAGCCCGAATTTATATTTTGCAGTAAATGCTAGCATGGAATGACACCTGAGCAAAGGTGACAGCTTGTGGACCCGGCTGTTGGTAATCCCATACACAGTTCTATATATTTCTTCACTTCCTTTTTAATAAGCCTTCAGCCCCCCATTAGTGCTTCTCACCAGTTTCCTTTTTCTTCAAAACAGCTAATTGTTTTGAGACACTCTCATGTCTATCACAAAATAGCTGGGTGAATCACTTTTCTTTTCAGACTAATCTCAGAACAAATCTCACATCCCTCAAGCCTCAGGGGGTAGCTTATTAGTGACAAACTGGTCATGTCTAAATCATGAGTTGATCATAGAATAAACATTATCTTTAATAGATGAGCTAGATACAACCCCCCTGGAAAAAAAACTGACACCAACTGCTACTAAAGAAAGTGACAAGTGCCCACAAACCAAAAAGAAAAGGACATTGATGCTACTCCCATTGGCCACCTAATAGATGATGCTAGCAGAATGAAAAGTTGAAAAATGAAAAAGAGAAAATGACTTATTTCCCAAACCCAACTACCTTCCCTCCACATTACTTTTTAAAGAGGAGAATAATAAAGACCATTTGCTAAACCTCAACCACACAGATGAAAACAGCAAAACAAAAGAGAAACCTGGAAGAGAGAAACAGAAAGCCCCAAACAGTGCAGCGCTCATTCTCCTTCTGGTCTCACCAGCCCAGGAATGCTCGCCACCAGCTCACCTCCGCTAGGACCGAACCCTCTCCCGCAGAAGGGAGACTTCCAGCAGAGCAAGGGGATCCAACAGGGACCCACCCATTCGGTGACCATATCAAAGAACAATGAGAAAAGCAAAGCTACTCTGAAAGCTCTTCTAATTACATAGCAAACAAACTGGGTCTCTAAGGGACATTCTTAAAAACCTGAAATCCACTCCCAGAAAAACCCTCTTGACCACTTACCGCTACCGGAAGCTGCTAGAGGGCAGATCAGAATCAGCATCTCATCAGAAAAAGAAGGCTCTGCAGGAAAGCAGCTTCACTACCAGTGAGGAACTGGGGGAGAAAAACACTCCTTGGAAAAACACCAAAAGCCCAGAAGAGTCTCTCTTTCTATGGTTGCCTGCTACTTCCGCGGGGACAGAACCGGTTAATCTTGGAGAAACAAAAGGAAACTCCCTAGAGACAGGCTTCAGCAGGATGGCTTCCTCGATGGGAACCAGGAGTTCAGAAGGATGGAAGTGGGCAACGGAAGGAGGCGCCAGCCACCACTTCTGCTTACCAACTTTTATGAGCCCTCCACTGAGGGACACAAGCAAACGTCTTTGGAGTTCCCACCTTCATTTTCCCAGAGATCAAGGAATTAGCGATGTTGTTTTTTTTTTTGAACCATTGCAAGGGGAGTTCAAGTCTCTTATGGGTGTAAGCTAAGCACACTCAAGGAACATGTCATACACAGAGCAAAGACTTCTTTCCTAACGTCCTTCATTTCAGCTCCAAGGAAGGGAACAATTAACCCTGAAGATGCCAAAAAATAAATGCACATAGGAAATGGATTGAAATATTGTGGTTCAAAATCACTTTGAGGGGTTCTAGTTTTTAAGATGAAATTAGAAAAAAACAAAATATTTTGGTTTGTGTGTATTTTTAAAAGAAAGGAGTATGTCTCCTTTTAAATATGTCTAAAACCATTTATGGGTGTTCCAGAAGTTGCATCAGATTTGCAGTTAAGTACTAAAACCAAGTATGTTTTAATCATACCTCTATAACCAGACCAAGCCAATGCCCTGTGCATGATCAGTGCCTCTCTCCTAGAATATCCTGAGCCCTCAGGTTTCCACAGAGAGGTTTCCACAGACTGCCAAGGTTCACAGTCACGGGGAACTACAGTTTCTTGAAACAAGAGTGATAGCTTTCTTCCTTGCATGATAAAAAAAAAAACTTATATGAGAAAACAACCATTTCTTCAAAATATTTAAAATGAAAAACTTTTAAATAAAAAAAATTATAAGTACAACCTCTAAAGCACTTTTTAACATATCACATTGGCAACTCTTATAAGTTTGGAAATTCCCTTTGTTGAAGAAGATATAAGGAAATCAAGTACCTTCTCCTACACTGTAGTAGGAGTAGAAGTTGTAAAATATTTTTAAAGGGAAAATAAGTAGTGACTCTCAAATATAGAAATGTGTATATTTCCATCTCTTAGGAATTCACCTTGCAAATGATCAACAAATATGAAACCATATCTGTAAAATTATTTGGTAGCAAAAAACTAAAAATGGCTTAAATATAGGGGGCTGAAATAAGTTAAGCTACATCTATACTAAGAAGTACTATGCAGCCATCAAGAGGTAATAAAATTGGAGTGAAGAATCAGATCATCTAGATTCAGATTTAGCTCCACTAGTGACTAGCCAGGCAACTCTGAGCAAGTCCCCAGCCCTCTCTAGGCCTCAGGTTCTCATCTGTAAAAGGATGATAATTACAGCACTTACCCTACAGGATTGTGATAACTAAGAGACTGCCTAGAGCATAGTAGATGCACAACAAATATTAGCTATTGTCAGTGAAAGAGGTAGATCTCTTCAGACTGACATGGAAAGATATCCAAGATGTACTGTCAAATGAAAAGAGAAAGTTGCAGAAGAGTGTGTATAGAATAATCTCATTTGATAAAGATATTTCAAATGTGCTTACTGCTTACTATCTATTTCTTCCCACTAAATATAAGCTCCTTGAGAGTAGGAACTTCCATCACTACTGTATCTCCAGTGTGCATAATAGGCATTCAATAAATATTCATTGACTGAATGAATGATAACAGAAAGGCTGAACAAGAAGAAATAATTGACAGCACTTATCTCCAAGGAATGGTATAGGGGTGGAGCGGCTGATGCGCCCTGGTAGAAATGTTCCATTGCTTTTTACCCTTTTGTACTGCTTAAATTTTTCACAATGAACTTGCATGCCAACCACTAAAAATGCAGCTCTTAGAAGACAGTAAAAATACTGTCTTTACCGGAGGCATTTGCCCTACTAGCAGCAGGCAGACGGGGGAACAAGGGATGATTCTCCCTACCATCTGGTAAACTAGTGAGTCAGAAAGCACCTGAGAAAAGAAGGAAAAGCCAGAGCTCTCCTTTTCTTCTTAGACATCTATTGATCTTTCCCTAGTTATTCCAGAACCTCCCAGCCAGATCCTCTGCCCTAGTCCAGCCAGACTCTTCCCCATTACCTAAACATCGACTGCACATCCCCACCATGGCATCTTCTCCGTTTAGGAACTGTCCCTTCATCCCCTCACCTCCCAACCTGTCCTCAGAGGACCAGATCACATGCTCCCTCCCTTCTCCCCAGAGTCTTTTCTGATCTTTCCAGCATCTTTGTTCACTCCTTCATGGGCACTGCTAGTGACGGGATTAGGCAACATCCACTGGCATTTATCCTACAGTGCCTGTCATCTCTCCTCCCAGCTTACAGACTGCTTGTGGTGAGGACTGTGAGGACTATGTCTTCAGTTTTTAACCCCACCCCCAACACACTCACCCACACACAGCCCTGTACTGTGAAGGAGAAAGCACCTCAGTAAAGAACTACATGTTGTGATTTTGTTCCATTTACCCAAAAGTTTCTGGCACCAGAAAAAGTTCATGTGCCTTGCCATTCTCCCTGAAATTTCAAGACAAGAGATGTCTTTCTTCGGCTTACTAAGTATATTCTTGTTAAGTGCTTCTAAATGCTCTAAATTGGTTTAAAATGCTCTAGGCATTCATGTGTTAACTCATCTGAATTGATTGAATCGTAATTTTTTCCCTAACTAATGACACTGAGAGAATGAGGAATCCTACTGGGAGAAGAAATAGGACAGAATGAAAGAAGGGCATACCACACACACAGGGGAAGACCACAGGAGGCCTACCTCACGTTTATTCCAGACACAGAAACTCTCAAAATGTGCGTGCACATGCAGGTGTGCGTGTGCATGCGTGTGTGTGTGTAAGAGAGAGAGATGCATGGCACTGACTCCTTATCATTTTGAAATACTCATTCATTTTAAAATGCAAGTATCTTGCTGCTGAATACTCTCTTGCAGAGAAATCTTTGGGCATTTAAATAAAAAGTTATTGTACAGTGCCATAGAATTACCTACTTAAAATCACAGAACATCAGACTTATTTGTCCCATCACTTTAAGTGCCACAGCTCTTTATCCATCTCTGGAATATGACATTGCAGCAGTTGCTGCCACACATCTGCCAGGCTCTCTTGTCACCTTTGCATCCCCTTGACCCTCCCTCACTTCATTCAGAGCTATGCTCACAGTTATCCATTCTGAGTGGCCTGCCCTGCTCAGCCTACCTAAAACTATCACTCTGTCCCCTTTCTTGCTTTATTTTCTCTATAGGAAAAATGCATAGGCATTCTAATCTCCTGTTTATGGTTCCCCCAACCAGATCAGCTTCAAAAGAGCAGAGACTTTGTCTTACTCACTGATGTGAACAGGGCCTAGAACAGGGCTTAGTAGGTTCTTGTACAGTTATTTGTTGCTTGCTAAATCTGTGTGAATCTTTCTCCAGAACATGAACTGCTTGTAAAATAAACCTCTTGTCTCATACCCTGTTTTATTTCAACAGTGCCCAGCAAACAGTAAATTATCAATAATGAAATGGAAGCTGAAATCTAAAGTATAGCTGCCTATATGATACTTTCCATTTAAAATAAAATTCCATTTATAACATGCCCGCAACTTAATTTCTCTTCACTCATCTTAATTGGTCAGTCCCCAAAGTAGTGCCAGTTGGCAGGTGTAATTTAAGTAGACCTCATACAGCCACACAGTGGTTAGAGTCAGATTTCAGACTTCTGAAAGAAAGAGGAGCCCAGGGGAATGGAGGGAGGCGTACAGCACATCAGAGGTGAAAAAGGCAGCTGCTCCCTCCACAGGGCATGAACAGAGATGCACTTGCTCAGATAACTAAAAAAGTGTAGAGGGAAATGAGGGCCTGAAAGTTCTGCTTTTTTCCACTCCTAGGTATATACCCAAAAGCTTGGAGGCAGACACCAAAACAGATACTTGTACACCAATATTCAGAAAAGTATTATTCACAATAGCCAAAAGGTGAAAACAACCCTAATGTCCATCGGTGAATGAATGGATAAACTAAATGTGGTACGTACATGCAGTAAAAATTATCCAGCCTTAAAAAGGAATGAAATTCTTACACATGCTGCAACATGGATGAACCTTGAAGACCTAATGCTATGTGAAATAGGCCAGACACAAAAGGACAGATAGCATATGATTCCACTCATGTGAGTTAACAGAATAGACAATGAAGAGAGGTTACCAGGGGCTGGGAGAAAGGGAGAATGGAAAGGTATTGTTTACTAGGATAATGAAAAACTTCTGGAGATGGATAGTGGCATTGTTTATACAGTATTGTGAATATACTGCTGCTATGTCACTGAACTGTATACTTTAAAATGGTTAAAATGGTAAATGGGATGCTGTTCTCACCAGATCATATTACATGAACAGGGGTTTATCTTTAATCTTCATTAGGTAGCATGTGTATTTTCAGAACACCAGAAGTTCTGTGTTTTTTAAAAATCTTGGTTTGCTTTAAAATTTTACCTTTTATAAATGTCCCCCATGTCTATAATCTAGAGTTTCCAAAGAACTTTCTCAATGATCCCTTCAATTTGTCCTCTCAACAATCCAGGGAATTATATTAAAGGAATTTTGATTAAATATTTGACTATTTGAGTGAAAAGTTTTTCCTAATTCACTTACCCTCTTACCTTGTCCTCCAACATTGCACACATTTCATCAAAAGGAAGAGATGGAAATGTTTATGTATAGGAATCAGAAGCTACTCAGCGTTTCCAAACAGAATAAACAGCATCATAGATTTCTTAAAACCTGTGAATATGTCTAGCTCTACTGCCAAGACAGCTAAGGAAACCAACAACTTTACATTTTAGTAAACAGATTAACCACCCTATAACCAACAGAATGCACTGACCCATATTTTCATTCAACAAATGTGGATATTCTGCTAAGTACTTTGTGGAGCATAAGAAAATGAACTAAATGTGATTCCTGCTCCTGGGACTCTCATATGCTTGGAGGAGTTAGCAGATGAGGAGATGCTTGTAATAGAAGGGGAAACAGCAGACTCTGCCTTTAAGAATGGGACAGCCAGATAGCAGATTCAGTTAC